TTTAAGCTGCTCCTCTGACCTCTCGATACTCGCAGCAAACACTGGAGGATTTCAATAGGAAAGACCTTCAGGAGCTCTGGATTAAACACACACGACCAGCACTGCAAACACAATGCTGGAAACAACACACAGTCGAGACATGAAGCAAAGATCATGAAGCGTTTGTGGAAGAACAATTAATATAATAATAATAATAATAATAATAATAATAATAATAATAATAAAAATAACAACAATAATAATAACTAGAAAAGTAAAGTTTATGGACAAAACCTTATGGTCGTTTGAGAAAGCCTCGTCTGAAAGATCGAAGTTGTTTCAAGAAGTTTGAAACAGCATTGATAGATAACTACGTGTTAGCATGTTTCTAGTATGGATTGGCATGTTTCTTGCTAGGCGGTTGATCGAGTGTTCTGAGTGGCAGCTAAGGTTTTGCTAGGTGGTTGTTAGGGTGTTCTGAAAGGTTGCTAAGGCGTTGTGATTGGTTGCTAGATGGTTGCTAAGGCATTGCTAGGGTGTTTTGACTGCTTGTTAAGGTGTTGCTAGGTGGCTGCTGAGGTGTTGCTAGGTGGTCGCTAGGGTGTTCTGAGTGGTTGCTAGGCAGTTGCTAGGTTGTTCTGAGTAGTTGCTAAGGCATTGCTAGGATGTTATAGGTAGTTGCTAAGACACAGCTAGGCGGTTGCTAGGCTGTTTTTAGGTGGTTGCTAAGGTGTTTAGAATGATTACTAAGGTGTTGCCGGGGTGTTCTGAATGGTTGCTAAGGCGTTGTTAGGCAGTTGCTAAGGTGTTTTCAGTGGTTACTTTGCGGTATGCTAGGGTATGTTCTAGCAGGTTACTAGGGTGCTGCTAGGTGGTTGCTAAGGTGTTCTGAGTGGTTGCTAAGGTGTTTCTAGGCGGTTGCTAAGGTGTTACTAAGTGGTTGCTAGGGTTTTCTGAGGGATTGCTAAGGCATTGCAATGTAGTTGCTAGGGTGTTCTAAGTTGTTGCTAGGTGGTTGCTAAGAAGTTGCTAGACGGATGCTAGGTTGTTCTCAGTGGTTGCTAAGGGGTTGCTAGGTGGTTGCTAAGGCATTGCTAGGGTGTTGCTAGACGGTTGCTAGGTGATTGCTAAGGTGTTGCTAGGCAGTTGTTAAGGGTGTTCTGAGTCGTTGCTAGGTAGTTCAATAAGGCATTGCTAGGGTCTTGCTGCGCGGCTGCTAAGGTGTTCTAAGTGGTTGCTAAAGTGTTGCTATGTGGATGCTTGATCTGATTGGTTGCTAAGGTGTTGCTAACTGGTTGCTAAGGTGCTCTAAGTGCTTGCTAGATGATTGCTAAGGTGTTGATAGGCAGTTGATAGGGTATTCTAAGGTGTTGTTTGGTGGTTGCCAAGGCTTTGCTAAGTGGTTGCTAAGGCATTGCTAGGTGGTTGCTAAGGTGCAGCCTGAGTGTTCTAAGTGGTTGTTAAAGCGTTGCTAGGTGGTTGCTAGGGTGTTGCTAGGCGATTGCTAATGTGTCCTGAGTGGTTGCTCGGTAGTTGCTAACATAAATTAGGTTCCATGGTTTAAACATAAGTTAGCATGTTGCTAGCATGTTTCTAGCCTAAATTAGTATGTTGGTAGCTTGAATTTAGTATGAATTAGCATGTTGCTAGCATGTTTCTAGTATGTATTGGTATGTTGTTATGTCCAATTTAAAGTCTATGGCAGTTTTATAATGGAAGTCTATATGAGACAGTTGCTAGGGTGCTGTAAGTGGTTGCTAGGGTGTGGCTAGTAAGTTGAAAGGTCATCAGTGATTGGTGGTTGTACTAGAAGGAGATGCAAATAGAAATTAGTCTCAAAAGAAGAAAAGATAAAAGAAGAATAAGCAAACAAGCCAACATACTTTATTCATTCATTCATTTTCCTTTGGCTTGATCCCTTTATTTATCAAAGGTTGCCACAGCAGAATGAACCACCAACTATTCCAGCATATGACAATGCAAAACTAAAATTGCTGAAGGGGGTTGAAGCACAGATATTGGAGGAATTACTGTAAAAATTTTGAAACATTTGAGAAAGAAAGAAAAATTCACGAGAGGGCGAATAATTCTGACTACAACAGCATAGACAGTGACTGACTGAACATCATGACTGAATTCACAGGTTTGCAGCTTTACACCATCACATATAGAGCTAAATGCATGTACCCCTATCTGTGAGCTTCTATAGTGTGTAGCGGTGTGTTTGAAGCAGTGTTTATTGCCTGTCAGCCTTATTGTGTCGTAAACAGAGCTCGTAGTGAATCCAGAATATGTTCAGATTAGCACGCACTGCTCTTACTGTCGCTGCACTAAGATATGAGTAGGGCCAGACAGAATCTGCGGACATGTTTTGCCGTTTCTGCGCAGAATTTTGTAAAAAAAAAAAATCTGTGTATTTATGCGGAATGATTATCGTAACTAAAAACTTAATATTAAATCAAACAATTAACATTAAATAAAAGATAATAAACTATTTTCATTTCATTTAAAAATAATAGTTTATTATATTTTATTTAACGTTTGCAACGCAAATCTAATTAGATCCACTTATTTGGTAAACAAAGCAAGTCTCTCATATGATATCTCTACTAAAAGACAGAAAATCTTACTGCACAAACTGCATTCTAAATAAATCATATCAACATATTAGTCAATAATATTAGTAAATTAATTTTAAAAATAAATAGAAATTTACACACATTTACACTAGTAAATACACAGACTCAATGAAAAATCTGTGGAAATCTGCGGATTTCAGTGCGTGCAGATTCCGCGCAGGCCTTATTATGAGTGATGAAGTAATGATGACTTTATTTAAAGGGGTGTTCATAAGACCTTTATAATCGAATATAACATATGTCATTAGTCTGAGTGAGATTGTGTGCATGCTTATGACCACTGTTATCAAGTGTCATTTGCTCCGTCATGGCAAGAACTCAAAACTCATTTAGATTTTTAGCTCAAGTTTTGTGGTGAAGAATTCATCTGTGCATGTCATTAAGAACATTTCTTCATTCATTTTTCTGTGGCTTGGCTTCTATTTCAGGGGTCGCCACAGCAGAATGAACCGCCAACTATTCCATATATGCTTTAATTGGATATGGGTTAAACATCCATATCCAATCTAGTTCAGTTCCCCTATAGCGCATGTGTTTGGACTGTGGGGGAAACCAGAGCACCCGGAGGAAACCCACGCCAACACGGGGAGAACATGCAAACTCCACACAGAAACACCAACTGACCCAGTTGAGACTTGAACCAGCGACCTTCTTGCTGTGAGGCCACATTGCGACACCACTAAGCCACCGTGCAGCACTTAAGAACGTTTAGTTCCTTTTCTAAGAGATTTAAGACGTATATTGCTCGACTTAAGAAGCATTACCCAACACTGGTCTCAGATAAGTGACATTCAGTAAATCACGTTTTTGGACAAAATCTTTTTATTATTTACAAAATTCTGGGCAGAAAAAAAGCAAAAAAATGTCTGCAGATTCTGTGTGTGTGTTTTAGTCAAAAGTATTGTATTTTATTTACAGTGCACTAATAATATTAACAAACAGTAATAATATTAACAAACAAACCCTTCCTGTTCCCCAAACCCCCTCAGCAGTAGAGCTCCGGCAGACACACACTCTCTGATATCAGTCAGAACACAAATAAAACACTTCTCAAAGACCTTGTCGGATCCAGAATGAAGAGAGGCATAAACTAAAACTGACTTAAGGTTGTCATATATTGATTTTAAAGTCGCGTTACACAGCACTGATCACAAATAATAAAACATCTTATGTCAAAAGGAAACACAAGATTATTGGCAGGTTATTTTGTTTGCTCATTAATGTTTGACTCATTTCTGAAAGCAAGACAATATGTTGTGCTTATCTAGAAAATCCTTCTTGATTTTTTAAACTTTTGGATTTTTGCAGTAGAAATAAGCCAAAAAAAGTGAGAAAAGCTTTTTTGCTGTGTGTTTTGTAGTCAGAAGTCCTCCAAAATATTTATTCACAACTTCCCAAAAGAGCTTTTATTTACAGTCTAGTAATGATATGAACAAACAAACCCTTCCTGTTCCCCAAACCCCCTCTTGATCAGCAGCACACGCTTTCAGATATCAGTCAGAACACAATAAAACACTTCTTGAGGAGTTCAGAATGAAGAGCGGCATAAACTAAAACTGACTTAAGGTTGTAATATATTGCTTTTAAAGTCGCGTTACATCACAGAGACCACAAATAATAAAACATCTTATGTCAAAATAAAACACAAGATTATTGGCAGATTATTTTGCTTATTTTAATAAAAAATCACCTAATTTTGACTCATCATTTCTGAAAACAAGACAATATTTACTGCTTGTCTAGAAAGTCCTTTAAGATATTTAGATTAGAAACAAGATCAAACTGCAGGCAAGTTAGAAAAGCATTTTTGCAGTTTGTTTTGTAGTTAAAAGTGCTTCAAAAACTTCCCAAAAGGCCTTTAATATAGAGTCTAGTAATGATATTAATAAACAAACCCTTCCCGTTCCCCAAACCCCCTCAGCAGCAGAGCTCCGGCAGACACACACTCTCTGATATCAGTCAGAACACAAATAAGACACTTCTCAAAGACCTTGTCGGAGTCCAGAATAAAGAGCGGCATAAACTAAAACTGGCTTAAGGTTGTCATATATTGATTTTAAAGTCGCGTTACACAGCACTGATCACAAATAATAAAACATCTCATGTCAAAATGAAACACAAGATTATTGGCAGATTGTTTTGCTTATTTTAATTTAAAAAATCACCTAATTTTGACTCATTATTTCTGAAAACAAGATAATATTTAGTGTTTGTCTAGAAAATACTTCTTGATTGAAGAACTTTCAGATATTTGGATTAGAAGCAAGCCAAAAAAAGTAAGAGAAGTGTGTTTTGTAGTCAGAGACTTTATGTTGTGCTTAAATATTTGGATTAGAAACAAGATAAAAACTGCAAGCAAGCAAGAAAGGCATTTTTGCAGTGTTTTTTTGTAGTCAAAAGTGCTCCAAAAACATCCCTAAAGAGCTAGTAATGATATTAAGTAAATACTAGACTAAAGAGTCTAGTAATGATATTAACAAACAAACCCTTCCTGTTCCTCAAACCCCCTCAGCAGCAGAGCTCCGGCAGACACACGCTCTCTGATATCAGTCAGAACACAAATAAGACACTTCTCGAAGACCTTGTCGGATCCAGATTGAAGAGCGGGGTATAAACACACCCTCACGTGGCCTTCAGATAGCAGTAGAGCGCCTGCAGGCCGCCGTCCAGCACTTCTTTAATGGGTTTCAGCAGTGGATTGTGCATAATGTGCAGACCTTTATCCAGCGGATGGCACGCCAGCTTCTCCAGACGCTTCAGTTTGTGCATCTCCGCAGGAACGTTCTGGATGTCATTGAAGTCAACATTCAGAAGCTCCAGCTTAGTCAAACAGCAAAGCATCTTGGGAAGCGAGTGGATGCAGTTTCCCTCGACGATGAGGATCTTCAAATCCGTCAGTGCTTGTATCTGATCGGCGATGTTCTCCAGATTGTTGCACGCTAGTTGCAGAAACACCAGGTTCCTCATGGTGTAGACGCAGCCGGGGATGTGCGTTATGTTATTGTGGCTCAGATTGAGTTTCTTTAATCCCACGAGAGCTGAAAGAGACGCCGGCAGCCCGGTGAGGTGATTATTAGCCAAACTCAACACCTCCAGTTTACTGCACATGCAAAGCTCTTCGGGAACTTCGCTTAAGTTATTCCGATATGCAAAAAGCACCTTCAGGTTTCTCAGTCGGCCGATTTCTGGTGGTAAACTGGTCAGGTGGTTTCCCCAAATGTTAAGCACCACCAGGTTTTGCAGCAAACCCAGCGATCCTGGAAGAGAGCGAAGAGAGTTCAGTGATAAGTTCAGCTTTTGCAGCTCCGTTATTTCCCATAGTTCCTCCGGGAGATCCGCCATGCCGCGTCGAGCAAGACTTAGCACGCTGAAACCGAAGTGTGTGGTCGTGTGCTTGCGTATGCGTTCCACTGTTGGGAGATTTTCATCCAAAGCTGCGCTCTTTCTTCCGTCGTCCGCGACTCTCTTGGATTTACTTCCACCCATTTCTGATTCTTCTCCTGTCTGTTTCTCCTCTGACCGACTGAAGCTGAGAAATGCGGAGGACATTCCCGGGACGTCACAGAAAGAGGAGGCGATGTCGGAAACATTACTGAGTTTCACAGCGTCTCCAGCAGCTGCTGCTGTCACTTTAGCACTGATAACCAGTGGACGGAGAACCGCACGGATGTTTCTGGGGTGAAATATGAGGGCACCGGCCTCTCATGACACTCCTGACCCAAAATAAGGACAGCTGTCTATGCTGAAGCTCCTACTTTCAGGGTTATTACAGCCAGGGGTGGAAGGAAGACTGAAAAATCATACACTGTCCATTCTGATAATACAGTAACTGATTTAATGAGGTGTGAGCGAACATGTTTGAGTTAATACACTCACTGGCCACTTTATTAGGTACACCTGTCTAACTGCCTGTTAACGTAAATTTCTAATTAGCCAATGACATGGCAGCAGCTCACTGCATTTAGGCATGTAGACATGGTCAATAGGATCTGCTGCAGTTCAAAGCGAGCATCAGAAAGGGGATTTAAGAGACTTTGAACGTGGCATGGTTGTTGCTGCCAGACGGGCTGCTCTGAGTATTTCAGAAACTGCTGATCTACTGGGATTTTCACGCACAACCATCTCTAGGGTTTACAGAGAATGCTCCGACAAAGAGGAAATATCCAGTGAGCGGCAGTTCTGTGGGCCTTGTTGATGAGGCCAGAGGTCAGAGGAGAATGGCCAGACTGGTGGTGGTGGTGTAATGGTGTGGGGGAGATTTTCTTTGGGTCCATTAGTACCAATTGAGCATCAACGCCACAGCCTACCTGAGTATTGCTGCTGACCATGTCCATCCCTTTATAAGCACAGTGTCTCCATCTTCTGATGGCTACTTCCAGCAGGATAACGCAGCATGTCATAAAGCTCAATCATCTCAGACTGGTTTCTTGAACATGGCGATGAGTTCACTGTACTCAAATGGCCTCCACAGTCACCAGAGCTCAATCCAATAGAGCATGGATGTGAAGCCGATAAATCTGCAGCAAATGTGTGATGCTATCATGTCAATATGAAGCAAAATCTCTGAGGAATATTTCCAGCAGCTTGTTGAATCTCTGTCATGAAGGATTAAGGCAGTTCTGAAGGCAAAAGGGGTCCAACCCGATACTAGTGAGGTGTACCTAATAAAGTGGCCAGTGAGTGTATACAAGATTTTAAGTACATTTGAAAGGATACACTAGTAGATTTTTGGAATAAGTGCACATAAATCATAGAATGTTGATCTAGTTTTGTCTAAGCAACTCATCCTGCAGTGATGTCTCCATGATGTCAGTCATGCGTTCGCTTCATGTCTTCATCAGCACAAACAGAGCCGCTTCACATAAACAGAACTATTCATAGAGCGAATCCCCGGCGGACGCTGACTGACCTGCTGCAGTGATCACCACCGGAATCTGTTTCTGTCCTGAGCTTCATTGCAAGAGTGTAAACAAACCCTTACAACCAGTAGAGAAACGCATGAGAGTGTGTGCGTGCGAGTGTGTGTGTGTTATTTAAAGCCTGTAACTGTACTCATGCTTTCTCACTGTATTAAGTATCCTCAGATGTGGATTAAAGGTTATATCTGTGCTGTGGGTCTTCATTAAGTGGCATTTGCAGGACATCTGAAGGAGCTTCTCTGGCCATTTCTCGGCCCCATGCCAAATAATCAGAGCTTTGTCCTGCTCCACACTGAACTTACAGCACAGTGAGGGAAAAATCTAGAATAATTAATCCAGATTTCTTAGGTAAAGTGTGTATAGCTGATTTATTTTAAGCTGAAATCTCCCAGGTACACAAAATATGTGGATGAAGCACCATTTCCTTTCTTCCATTGGCTTAGTCTCTATTTCAGAGGTCACCACAGCGGAATGAACTGCCAACCATTCCAGCATATGTTTTGTGCAACAGATGCCCTTCCAGCTGCAACCCAGTACTGGGACACACATACACACTCATTCTCACACACTCATACACAACGGCCAATTTAGTTGATCAGTTCCCCTATAGTGCATGTGTTTGGACTGTGGGGGAAACCGGAGCACCCAGAGAAAACCCACAACAACATGGAGAACATGCAAACTCCACACAGAAACACCAACTGACCCAGCTAGGACTTAAACAAGTGACCTTCTTGTAGTGAGGCGACATTGCTAACCCCTGAGCCACCATGTCGCTTATAATTATTATGAATTTAATTATTGATGAATTATTATTATTAATTATTATATTTTATAATTATATATAATTATATATGTTTACTTATATGTATAATTTATATATATATATATATATATATATATATATATATATATATATATATATATATATATATATTATAATAATATATAAGCCTTTTATCTTGCAAGGAAAATGAAAGTAAAGAAATGTACAGAATTTGTATCTTAAATGATTATTTTTTTTAAGTAATATTTTTTAATTATTTAATTAAATTGATGAATAAACTATTATGCAGCAGGAACTTTTTAAAGCTCTAATAACAATAATAATAATAATAATGTTTCCCAGAGATGGGTTGCGGCTGGAAGGGCATCCGCTGCGTAAAAACTTGCTGAATAAGTTGGCGGTTCATTCCGCTGTGGCGACCTTGAATTAATAAAGGCACTAAGCCGACAAGAAAATGAATGAATGAATGAATAATAATAATAAGCACTTGTATTAACAATTAGCAGTAATTGTTTTTTTGTTATTTCTTAATAATTTTAAAAAATTTTAATATATATATAATAATATTTCAATTTTTTTTACCGTATTGTAAATCAAATAAATGCAGCCTTACTGAAGAGACAAATATTTTTTTAAATTATTATTGTGTTATTTATGAATAACGAAACCTTTTAATTTAATAATATTTATATAATAATTTTACAGCCTTTTTACTGTAAATTAGATCAAATAAATTATCAAATAAATTCAGCATTAACGAACACTAAAAAGAAATTTGTTAATGATTTTTAAATCAAATTTAAAATATTAACTTATGGTCAGGGTGGCATGGTGGCTCAGTGGTGTCGCACTGTGGCATTACAGCACTCGGGTCACTGAATTGAGTCTCGCCTGGGTCAGTTGGTGTTTCTGTGTGGAGTTTGCATGTTCTCCCCATGTTGGCATGGGTTTCCTCCGGGTGCTCCAAACACATGCGCTATATGGGAATTGATCAACTAAACTGGCCATAGTGTATGAGTGTGTGTGTGTGTGTGTGTGAATGAGTGTGAATGGGTGTTTTCCAGTACTGGGTTGGTGCTGGAAGGGCATCCGCTGTGTAAAACATATGCTGAAATACTTGGTGGTTCATTCTGCAGTGGTGACCCCTGATGAATAAAGACACTAAGCCGAAGGAAAATGAATGAATGAATGTTTAACAGATAGAAAATAATGTATTGTGAAAGGTCAGTACTGTAGATTGTGAATCGAGTGTTGAGCTGAGTGAATCATTACATCCAGCTCTTCAAACACGTCTGCATATGTACATGTGTTTGTACTAGAAAAGCACAGTAAGGGATTTTGCTCTGTTTGTCTGCAAAGTCAAATTAATCAATGTTGTGTCTGCATGAGTGTGTCTGACCCTACATTTATGAGCTGTGTTTATTCTGCATCACACTCACAACAACACAACACAAGATCACAGATTATTTATTTATTTTACAACTTTAGTCTTTAGTTTTATTTACTTTATTTACAAGGCAACAATAAGCAGTCCAAAACAGAGGAAGAGGGCAAAGACAGATAACGCACATGATCAAAGCAGGCAGGTTTTAAACACAAGATAGCAGTCATGAAAGTCACTTGGAACAAAGCTTGGTAAGGCAGGTAAACTGGCAATACTTCCCAAGGAAGCATGGCCTGAGCTCTCGCTGAAATACAGCACAAACAGGAAGTGACTGCCGAGGGAGCGGAGCTCAGTAGTCGGACGAGGGCTCCCTCTGCTGGCATGGCGTTACAGAATTATAACGTAAATCCACCAGAGGTCATTGTGTATATATTTGACAATCTTAAATATGTTACTGGCCCACGTTTTCTCTACATGTAATTTCTCGTAAATCCACTAGATGGCAACGTGTACATCTTTGACAATCTGAAATATGTAACAAGCCCACGTTTTCTCAAAGCTGATTGAGCTTTATGACATGCTGCGTTATCCTGCTGGAAGTAGCCATCAGAAGATGGAGACACTGTGCTCATAAAGGGATGGACATGGTCAGCAGCAATACTCAGGTAGGCTGTGGCGTTGATGCTCAATTGGTACTAATGGACCCAAAGAAAATCTCCCCCACACCATTACACCACCACCACCAGCCTGAACCGCTGATACAAGGCAGGATGATCCATGCTTTCATGCTGTTGAGGCCAAATTGTGAGCCGAGCATCCGAATGTGTCAGCAGAAATGGAGACTCATCAGAGCAGCAACGTTTCTCCAATCTTCTATTGTCCAGTTTTGGTGAGTCTGTGTGAATTGTAGCCTCAGTTTCCTGTTCTTAGCTGACAGGAGCGGCACCCGGTGTGCTCTTCTGCTGCTGTAGCCCATCCGCCTCAAGGTTGGACGTGTTGTGTGTTCAGAGATGCTCTTCTGCAGAGCTCGGTTGTAACGAGTGCTTATTTGAGTTACTGTTGCCTTTCTATCAGCTGGAACCAGTCTGGCCATTCTCCTCTGACCTCTGGCCTCAACAAGGCATTTGCGCCCACAGAACTGCCGCTCACTGGATATTTCCTCTTTGTCGGAGCATTCTCTGTAAACCCTAGAGATGGTTGTGCGTGAAAATCCCAGTAGATCAGCAGTTTCTGAAATACTCAGAGCAGCCCGTCTGGCAGCAACAACCATGCCACGTTCAAAGTCTCTTAAATCACCTTTCTTCCCCATTCTGATGCTCACTTTGAACTGCAGATCGTCTTGACCATTGCTATGAAACCGCATACTTCCATACAATACAGTACGCTAAAATCAGTATGCGAGCCGAGTAGTATGTC